AAATGTTGCGAATACATTTTGCAGTAATTTAACAATTAAAATTAGATCCTTCTAATCTGCTTAATTGGCTACAATTATTCGATACTAGGGCATTGTAACAAATCCGTCGATGTGTTAAATGCTAAATAATTTGTTGGAATTGTTAGCTTAAATATTTACTTATATTTCGTACGTCTTAATCTTATAGTCTCAGTTATAAAAGCCCTAAAATGACTCACAAAATAGATCCGCGTACAATAACGTCAACCTTTTAAAGAAATAGTTCCGTATCGCATAAGCAATGTCCTGCGCAGATTCCGATGCGGCAATTGTTCAATGATTGAATCAATGATCTCCCCTCCCGAACCCTATCCCCGCCGACCCTCTCTTCTCTTCTAGAAACTGCTCGAACAATCGAGAAAATTTAAGTATTTTCTATAATGATAAAAATATAGATATAAATCAATATTTCAATCTAAAAACAAAAAATATATACACTTCAAGTGCGTTAGGAATTTGTAATAATCGGTATAAACCGATTGATGTTCATAAGTATATTATATTTTAATGTGATTTGAACGATAAATTTAAATAGATAATAAGTATCTACTAAATAGATTAGTAGTTTGACCCGTTAAAATTGTTTTGTATAAATGTTTTGCTTAATTTAGCAGACAAATAATATTATAAGCTAATCATTCTACCGCTGGACGAATGTCCAGTTCGTCCAAAGACGTGCCGGGTAAGAACTAAAAAAAACCTCATCAGTCAAAAAAGAGAATTTAGGTTAAAATTACAAAGAGCTTTAGAAAAGGGCGCTTTAGATTAAAACATGCATCTATTTCCGCGCACAAAGGTATAAAAATAAAGCGGCAAATGGGTCAGACGGGTCTAAACGAAGCCATCCCGCTGCACGCTGTCCTTGACCCGGGCTGCAGCGTTAATTAGCGCGTCCTTCTGGACGCGGCCCAAAGAGGATCAGTGGATTATTAATGCCACTGCAACGGTTTGAAACTGGATTTACTCCGCACTGCGCGGCGTAATCTCATCGTAAAGCGTATTTTGAACATTTGAATCGATCATTGCAGTATAAAATATATTTAAAGTATAAAATTCTCGTGTCACATTACAATACTCTTTTAGTTTTATGAATTTTTATATGTAAAATAATAGCATATATGAAACATACAGTAACCGATCGTCAGACCTACTACATATTTTTCATAGTCCCATAAGGGTAACCTATTTTTTTTTTACTTTTTGCAATTTCTATAATGTGGCATTAAAACATACATTTGACCCTAAGTTTTTAAACTTGTTTTAGTAATTTAATCGTAACAGCGTTAGTAAAGATGGTTTATAGGGTCTGGTAGTATAAGTAGGTACTATAAAATTGTTGGTTTGATGCCCCGCGGTTAAAGTTGTATATTGTTACAGAGAAACGTTTCCGTAGCCAAATGGTTAAACGCACTACCTAGAATTGCCTTAAACGCGAGAGTTCTTTGGTTCGCATAGCGGAGAAACATTTTTTTCAAAATTATCTCGGTCGGGCAAAGCACAGAAGTCGAATCAATTACTTGCCTGTGCATCAATCAGTGAACCACCAAGATCCACCCCCACACCCCTAAACGGGATTACTTAGCGACTAAGTCAAAATAAGCACGGTTCATCTTAATAAGATACAACGTATATGTAACGTACGTAACATACGGTGACAGACATGTGAAATAACTAACCTAGAATCGTGTGAAATAGCTTCCGTAAGGCCAATACACACTTCCCCGAAGACCATAATGGACGAATGCGATATCACGTTGGGACTTAAACCAACACAAACAGAACGGGTTTCTTATACGACTTCGGAATTAGTCGCACGTGATCAACGCAATGGGATCTATTCCGATATAGATCATAGCTGAGGTTGTAGTTTATCTACACGAGATGCAAAAAGGTTGAATATTTACATAAATATTACTTGATTGACTCTTTGGTCTATATTGGTTGCAATGTCTGGCTAATGGTCAACGGGTCGTAATTTCTATATCCACGTTGTCCAATACCTCTATAAGTGAAAACTTTCCATAGCTTTACTATTCTACTCTTCCTGTTCTTAATTATTTATTAATGTTAGCTGTTTAGGTTTCCTAATATTATAAAAAAATATGTGTATATATATACATATATGTTTCTGTTCCAGTTATATTTTTTTGGAAACATATTGGACTTCGTCCACAGAGGAAATGTTGTGAAGTTAAATCCTGTTTCGATTTTAGGTTTTTGCCAGAATTATCAGCAAAGTCGTTTCTTTTATTGCATTAGTACACACACACATACCTACTTGCCCGGAGTTATAGATTGACAAATCATTTTTATTATATTTTCACATCTAATCAAAAATAATGAATTAAGAATTATTTTTGAAGCTATGTTTTCCCTTTAATTAAAAATAATAAGATATATTTTTAAATAAACGTAGTCTAAGCCAGTTTATCGAAGCCGCATCTCTAGAGCACTTCACTTTTCACACTGATTTTGCATAAAATTCTTCTGCTTCGACACTTTCAGTATTTTCTTTGGCGATATTTAAGCAACAACATTTATACTCCTAGAGATATTGCTGCAAAGTGTTACCAATAGAAGTGGAGAATGAGTAAGAGCTGTATTGAGCATCGATGTCACTTCAAAAGTTCAAACCGCCTTGGACCGCCCCACTTTGAAACTAAGATAAGAATAAGCAAGTTGAATTAAATAAAACTCTTTAACGGTTTAAATATATATATTTTAGCTAAACTTGTTTTAAAATTATTTTTAACTACGACCCGACGTTACGAACGAAATGATATAAAATTGATTTGTTTAAAATATTGATTGAACTACAATAAAAAGGTTTATATGTTATATGTGAAAGTCTTCTTGGTGCATTTAGACTTTTCTTCATGTACTGAATTATGCCAAAGTTTTTTTCAAATTGCCGAAATTCGATTGGACCGAATGCTTATCGGATTTCAGCGATTCCGCAAGTGTTACAAAGTTTAGCTATTTTATGCTCCTCTAAGTACTGGGCCACATCAATACCTTCACTCGAAGCGACATCCGTTGTGAAAAGGCAAACAATTTTATTGGTCGACTGGCCATTATTTGGCTCACATCCGTGACCCGCAGTGAACTTATCAAATAGAATGTTGCCAGGAGAGAATTACGAATAGATAATGCTTCTTTGCAGTTTGGGAATGGAGAGAATTGGCAGTTTATTGAAACATTTTTACTTCAATCCATAAGGAAAATGATTTTTTCCTCTATTATATAAAAATGATTTGCTATATGTTTTGGTAAGAGGTAAGATTGCAAATCTGGTGAAACAATGTCACGTAATTTTTAAAACATTCGTTACTTACGAAGGGAAATTTAAAAAATATACCTGAAATAATCTTAAAACAATTCTTCTACACGTCATTCGTTGTACACTAAAGAGGCTTTTTGTGAGGAGAGTTGTTTTAATCATAGTAAAAATTCTAAATGGCATATTCAATCAACAGTTTATTTCAGGTTAGGATGTTGAAAAACATAATACTCCTTCATCATGTTGGTCAAAACAAAGCAATGTCAGGATCACGCAATGCCTGTTCGACAAAAATATGTCGCGTGCGCATAAACACATTATGTATTGGATGTTACGAGATAAATCTAATGTAATTCGAAAATGCATTACTCGTTTTTCGAATTACACAATGTGATCGTTATTACGTACGGTGAGATAATTTAAAAAATAAAAGACAACGTTCATCCAAAATCAACACTGAGAATGCTGGGCGATTGAGTACATGCGCAGTTATAATAAGGACAACAAATACGCATTTCCCATACACATGTTTGTGTCTGAATCGCTTATCGTTTTTTTTAACAAGAAGTTGATGAGACCTCTGTCCAGCCTGACCGAAATTATTATAGACAGTCGAATTCAAGACCTGTCGAGCTTTCGCGTTTAACTACCGAGCTACAGATAAGTTAAACAATAGCTAATATTTATTGCGACCACGTAGAGCGATAAAGCAGATTAAGAAGCCAGAACCTTGAATGTGTCGCTACATTATTCACCTCGCAGGCCTTCGCCCCTCGGACAAGCGTAAATCGTCTAATACATAATACGATAATGTCGTTTGCAATCATATCAAACTATAGGCCACAACGAATCCCTAGGTTATATAGCATTATTGTTTGTTATTATTTTATCACGATAAAACGGATTGACTTGTTTTGATAAACTTTGGTGTGAGACACCTATTGCATCTTGAAAGAATACGTTTGGTTAGTGTTGTTTAAAGAAGGAGTCTGGGAGGTATTAAAACTCGACTCAATTTTGTTCAATATATTATTCATGTTAGAAAAGCAAACCGCTTATTTAATTTTCCTTATAAATCCACAAATTCGATAAGTATTGATTTTTGTAATAGAAATAAGCTTCTTTATCACAAACACCTTTAAGGTTCCCACCGCCTGAAACCAGGTTCCGATAGAAATATATAGTGAAGGTACATTGTTATACTTTAGTCATTTTATTTATTAATAAAGAAAACATAATTACGTACTTGAGTGTACAATGCAATACAATGTACCAAAATAAGTTTATTCCTTTTTAACTGGTATTATTTTCTCAAAAATATCAAGCGCTATGTAAATACTAGTTCGAAATGAAAATTTGGGAGTCTATTGGCTTTTAATGGAGGGAAAGGAGAACTTCATTCAGTACATTGTTATATTTTGTTACCTTTAAAAAACAAGTATTTAAATATATGTTTGAAATCTGCGCGTTCGTTGCCTTTAAATTTTTAAGTTCAATTGTATTTTTGGTGTGCCACTCTTTAAATAGTTCTTATACATTTTCTCTATAATTATTTAATTTAACTTAAGAGACTTTTGACTTATTAAAATGGAATACTACCTGCTTACTTTTTTATACCTTATAAAAATCAGGTCAGTTTCTCTTCTAAAAAAAACAATACTAGTAGGTAATAGGTACTTACTAAGTCTCGATGAGCTCGCAGTTGAGGAGCAGCTTATCTTCTCCCAGCTCGACCACCGCCACCGTCTGGTCGTGGAAGTAGATCATCCGCAGGGTGTCGTTGCTCACGCGCCGCCCTGAGTATGGCTTCACGCCTGGCTCCTTCCTGTCCACGCTCTCAGATCGCGCGCCTACTGTACCCACAAGTCCTGCAAAGAAGAATCGTCAAGGTTTGAAAAGTTCAGGCCACAAAAGGGCTTAGGAAAATTAATTGCTTATAAAATTGACATTAACAAAACCAGTAAAGCGTTATTCAAGTGGAATGTAAACATAATAGTAGCAGAAAAGGTTGCCAAAAGTATGTTTCCTGATGTACAAAGCATTTCAAGCATTCAAGCAATAGTCTTATTGCATTAAATGAAATTTTGTGATTTGAAATGAAACTGTTCTGGAAAAGGTTAAGCTATTTTCAACAAGAAGACGTGTCGGTTGCTTTTAACGACGTGTGGACAGGAGAGGTATACACCATCATCGTTGAGACCTTAGAAGAACCCAATATCTGATATTTTGTCACTAGTTCCATCCCAAGGTAAATTGAAAATTGCTCTTGTGTTCGTCGCCTACATTTTCATACGTTTTTCCCAGAATTGAAACCCATTTTTCTGATCATTTACGCAATGCAAGGCTACTCGAATTACGACTAAACCACTGAGGGTACGTGTCAGTGTAGCAAAAATAAATTATATAAGAGTTTCCAGATAACTTTGCCAAAATCGATACTCCACAAGTTGTTTATTAGCTGCAGTGGTGCAGTTTTTAAAGCTAGCTTTTGCCGCCGCTGTCGAGTCTCAAAAAATTAACTGACTTTCATCACGAAAGGTGAATGAAACAAAAAAAAACGATATATGTAAGGGACAGTGGGTTCTTACGTATTTTTTAATTATATTAAGCTCTTTATATATAGTTACTGTGATATTTTTTTAAATGTTCCAGCAATTCATACAAGAACTTACGGATTAATTATTACAAAGATATGTCACTGGTGTTGAGGATATTTTAATCTAGGTAGGTATTAACGCGTTTGTAGTATTTTTATTTTCTTACTCTCTGTTACTTAGCAATTATGTTAGAAGTTTTAAAGGCTTTTACACCTGCTCATCTTAGTTTAAATAATTTAGGCAATTTCCGCCCGCCCAAAAACTCACCTGCAAGTGACCAACTCGCCGGCAGGCTGAACGTGAAGGGCTTAGCGGAAGCCGTCTGCGGCGAAGACACGGCGATGCAGCAGATCACAATCACCGATAACAGGGATTTCAGGAGACCGTCCACGGGCGCCCCGCGGTTGAGCGCGTCGCGCGCCGATCGCATCGCAGTTAGGAGTCTACGGAACGACATGTCTACAGCACCATGACGCGTGCGACCGCTGCGAGGACCGAACGGCGACTGAGTTACTTTCTTCGCGTGACGTCACGTGGAAATTTCACTGAGTGCATCGCCAGTGCCCACCGATGCGTTCCCGCGTGGCGTATTGCGATCGGGTGACGTAATTTTCCAATAGCGGAAAGCTCGCCTCGGGAAACTTTGAGGACGCTCGCGAATGCCCTTACTGCTTCATATAGCAATAGTAGCTGGAAACCGGCGATAAGATTCAGCACTCAGAGCTGGAAAAGTGTCTGATTATTTGGTAGCTTCATCAAGAGTATTTTATTCGGGTAAATTTACAATATTTTCAATACAATTAATAACGAAAAACATTTACTACCAGTTCCCAAATCAAGGGGGTGGAACTGGTAAGAAACTCGCCGCACTTCTTTTATCTTCAAATTTTACTTACCATTTTTTACAAAATAAAAGTTAAATCTTTTTAGTTATATATTTTTTAACTTTAAATAGTTGCCTTGAATCACTAGAAGTTCTACTTTAATCATTTCGCTCCCGTAGTACAGTGGTTATCTGGTCACTTAAGTTATACGCCATACTATTGCTAAGATTCTGCAATACTGCAACATTGCAGTATTATAAACTTAAGTAGATGTTGCATTCTGAGCGGATCCTGGATTCAAGTTTCCCGCATTTGAACAATATAGATCCAATGCGCATTTTCTCGATCCATAAATAGTCGTAAGTGCCTAAAGTACTAGTAAGTTATAATTTAAAAGTTGAGTATATAAGTTTATTTGATTAGAATAATTAGGATTATTAAATGAAGAAGTATCTTTGCCCATTTTGTTGTTAACTATTATTGCTAAGAGTAATTATTAATAACAAAAAGCTATATCCATGGTAATTTTTGTAGTTAACACTTTTTTTAAATGCGAAATATTATTATATTAGTTAACTTATTATGAATTTAGTCGACTCGAAACAAAAAAATACAGCTTTCCGTAAAATGGCATGAAGTCTGTTCTGTAAGGACCCCGACAGTTTCCAGCCATAGCCACGTATAGTTGTTAGGAACATCTTCCGTCTTCGATTCCTTCGTGACCACGTGGTCGCAAATAAAATAAAAAAAGTCAAATAACGTATAACACGTTCTGAACCGTTGAAATTGCTTTATTTAAAAGTTATTTCCTCCACATAAATTGTAACGTTTAAGGTAATATAATGTAAAAAAGATAATGTAGGTACAACATGAGTTTCAAAAAAAGTTGATAGGATACTTAAATTTCTGCTTGTTTAATCCTCATCATATATGATCACAAAATATGTAATACGTAGGCATTTTATGAGTTCAAAAAGTTCGTGTCGGCCTAACGACCGAACTTGAATTGGAAAGCCGGTGAAAGTCGTTAATCACTTGCCATCCTTTCATTAATAAATGCTTAAGCGCGCTTGCGCAACCCGATGTAAGGCTTATTACGAGTTAGCTGTCATTGCCACATGTAAGTAAGTGTCATCTTTTCTGAATACTTATTATGTGGAGAGGTTACGTTGTTGTTTTTTATAAGTACTACTAGCTGTGCCCGCGACTTCGTTCGCGTAGAATAGTGAGTTGGAATAGAATTTTAATTATTTAGACTGTTTATAAATTTATGTACGAGCGCATTTCAGGCATCAAATCTATCTCGTAAGTGCTACTTTGCCGCAACACTCTCACCTCACATCATTCCTATACGCTAACTCCCATTCTCACTCCCACTCATATTCCCAAAAAGCCAAAGTAGAAAGTTCTATTGTTCTAGCTTCAAAAACCATGAATTTTCATATAAACTTTCATCCCCTTTTGCAACCCCTATCAACCCTTATTTGGGATTAAAAAGCCTGAGAAAGGCTTTAAAATATCTGTGTACCAAATTTCATTTAAGTCAGTTTAGCAGTTTCGGTGTTAAAGCCGGACAGACGAAGTTAGTTTCGCATTTATAATATTAGTATAGAAGTATAAATTGAAAACTTTAATATGATTTATTTATGTATGCAACAGTATTCGATATTCTGACCGAAGAAATGTATTCTCGAGAATCGAACCTGCAGGCCGATCGTCGTAAGTTAAGTAGCAGCGCAGTTGCAATGACGTTTTGTTTTTTGGTATGAGAATACCTAATAGTTAGACGAGAGTCTAATGTCAAAAATACCATTCGCCGAATGATATATAACTGTTTTTCATGAAAGGAAGACGGACAAACAAGGTTTACTTGATGGTACGTGATCACTCGAGCCATAACATCTAAACAGGATGCACTGCCGACCAATTTTGACTTTGGATATTCGGAAATCCAGACTGAAACCGAAACGCGATTAATTTTGACTGGTTTTTTATCTGTGGTTCGTTATCTGGACGGAAGTCGATATTCCTACTACCCTTTTAATATCTAGTTTTCTAGACGAAGTCCAACATGTCGCAGAATAATAATTAGTAGAAATGTCTCACGTTTTGTGATACTTATCACAACTAACAGGCCCATTTAATATTGTTGATATTCAATTTTTTAGGTTATTATCTTTATGGACGAGCGTTATTATACGTAAAACTAGTTTTTATGTTATATAGTTATTGATCCACTCGTAACAGTGGCTTAGGGTTACCACATACGAAACGCGGTCAATAAGACCTACTCCCAAGAGGTACATCTTATTATGGCGCATCATTAGTACTGGACCGCCAGAGTTCATCTGAAAATAATGTTGTTATCGTCATTTTAAGGAAACAAACGAGAGACTAAACCCAGAAACAATCTCGTCCCCGTCCCCCCACACACATAGGGGCATAAGGCGAATATATGATGGTTCACTTATCGGTTCTTTTACAGGCAGTAGCTAATCAGACTTCTGTGCCCTGCCCAAGAGAAACAATGTGTCGAACGAATGTCGAACCCAGGACTTCTCGCGTTTAACGCAATACGTTCAACTTCAGATGCGATGCATAGAAACAAACATACATAAAAAATTAATTTTGACTATTTTTTGTCAAAGTATTGTCTGTAGTGACCGCATGTAGTTAGTACACGTTTATATTCTATATATAATACATTTCGGTTTAAAACGCGAAATATATTCAACATATTTAACTATTTTTACATACACACCCTTCAGTCCACTTAAAACTACGACTGCTTCGAAGAATACGAAACAGGTACTAACGTAGTAAACATAAATTAACTAATATATTACGCGATTTAAACCGTTAAGAGTGTTTTTTTCTCCTAGTTCTATTGATTTATTATCGAAAACAATAATTATTTTCTAACTACCTACCTGTGTATTATTCCAAGTAGGGTTAGATGATTCGAGAGGAAATAAACACAATGCCGGGTCGTTTTGAGAACTAATATTCTTGTTTACAAGACAAAAATTCCCAAATATTTTCAACTTGAGTTGAGTAGGCATCATAACGTCAGTGCCGTTAGAGTTCTGTGAAGTTATAAGTAAAACTTATTAAAAAAACTCGTCTGTTTTTGGATTCAGCTTCTAGCCCGGAGCGAGAGTGATATTTGCAAGTTTTTTTTAATACAATAGGCATATAAAGGCCTTTACATGCCTTCGTTACCTATAGCCGTCACGTGGCGTTGGCAGTAAACATTCTAGACCTATTTATGTTCCTGATAAAAATATTTTGATTTCCAAGGGTCCCAACTCCACTTGAGTATTACAATGTATCTTATAAAAACGCAAGTAGTAAACACCGCAGTAGTTTAATAGTAATTATACACCTAATAACTATAATAATATAGATTATAATAAGCGAAAAATTTAAAATTGCTCACCTTATAAACGGACCAACCGTAAACCACGACATCTGGAGTTCCAACGATGGAACTTCTATATATTTTTAAAGGGTTTATGATAACGCTTGGCTCGATTTTCAATAAAGCTAATGAAAACTGGCTCGCGTTGTGTTTTGGATGTAAAACTATTTGCGTAACACTATGGACGGAACCAGCTGCTAAGGGATTTGTGGAATTGGCTATTACAGTGTGATAACTTTTGTACTTCGTTCTGAAAACAGAATAATATAACTCAATTCTAGTTTACAAGTGTTTCTATAGAATCCATTTATTTATGGATGTCAATAAAATGTTTGTTATACCCGTTTTCATAAAGATATGGCAAGACGTTCAAACAAGAAGCGGCAGTGAGAACCCAATGAGTATTTAAAAGCACGCCACCGCAAGTTTGCGCGGTCACATTTGACAGGGTCTCAAAGATGGCCACCAAACATAGCGGATTGGCGGGAAAATGTTCTCTTTTATTTTCGTCGGCTTCTTGCAAGGAATTATTTTTCTCTTCGATAGGTACGTCATCTAAATGATTTAATACTTCAAATAGATGTAATTTATTCGTGTCTTCAAGTGGAAATCCTGAATGTTTAAATACGGTTTGATAGTTAGTGTGCGATCGTATTTCTCTCCATAACGAATTGGACATAGTCGGGTCACAGTTGTCTATAGAAATCGATTTATTTGGCGCGAAATTGGTGACGCTGGAGCTAAATGCGTCCTCGAACCCTGAAAAAAAGCTTTTTCATTTCATTACTGGCGTTTTGCAGCTCTTCAGCCGTCGTAATTAAGAAATGTTACATTCAACCAATCGCCACGACGATCTGATAAAACTAATTTATTTAATTTATTTTTCTTTTGGCATTATTTTTTAACAAGACAGGGCATATTGTTTAGACAAGTGAGGGGCTTGTCTGTCCTATAATAAGCAAAAAAGAAAAAGAGCGAACCAATTTTTACAAAAAACAAATAAATTGTAATAAGTTATAACTTTGTCCCGATAATTACCCGGTAAATTATCCAGCAGAAAAATAAAAACAGTCACCGTCATTGCGCTATTGAATTCCGCCAAGTTCTGAGTGCGCACTACTACTTTGCTATTGAAATAACAATGTTGTTGTTTTGAAAACTTGACTTTTCAAAGGTTCCGCAATTCGTTTGTAGCCAAATTGCTATAATATGGAGTATAGACCTTCTATCAACATTATAAGCTATGATCCAAATGTAAATCTGTATGGGTATCTGAAGCTGGCACATCGATTGTTCTAGAACCAAAGTTCGATATCATGTAGATACGAAAAAAACACTCGGTCGGCGTGGTACTTAACCAGTCCTTTAGAGGCTCACAACAGTATACAGAGACGGTGTCCCAAAAATTCAGGCAGTTTAATAAACACAATATTGCATACGTTTATTCAACATTCACAACCTTTTAATAAGTAAACAACAGCATCGTAAGCCTTATCCAATACTGAAAGGCATAGAAAAACTACATTTGTAATAGAAATGGCGTGACCATGCGAATGGAGAAAATAGATTGAAATCTATAGGTATTTACATTTTACACACAAATATGTGATCAGCCTTTGAAACTTGCTCTAACGGGCGTTATTATTCGAACCCAAAACCTCACAGCTAAACGACAAAGGTCGTAACATTAGCAAAAGATACTTAGTTTCAAATGTCATGTTGCTCTTAAAAGTTGAAGAAGTGTTAATATTTTAATAACAAAGTTAGTATTTTTTCAATGTTTAATTTTTTTTGGAGACACCGATAGGCGGTCGAGTGATCAGTCCACACTATTTGTTAATCACTTTATCCATTCCCCATTCCACCTCTGTGGCGGTCATTGGGTTATCATCACTGTGACCCTTCAAATCTTCCGGTTACTTAGTAGAATTATACCATTGTTCAATGATTACGTCTATATACAGTCATCTTTATTTACAGTTATTCGAAATGTAACATTAATGTTAAAGACAATTTTAATTTTAGCCTAGCTTTGCTATCAAAAACAATAAGTATCCACAGATAAAAAACTAAATTCTGTATTTTATAGGGAAAGAGAAAGTTCGTGAAAGTTCTATTTGTGTGTTTTGGTGGATAGATATAGACAATAATATAAAGTTATTATTTCATATCATTCAATTTTACTGTCTGTAGTTTACGCGAGTAGTAGACATTTAAATAAAACACTTTAACGGTTTAAAACACGATATATATTAGATATTTGAAAATTATTTTTAACGTCGGACCGAACTAATATATATATAGCGTTTTAAACCGTTAAAGTGTTTTATTTACATAAATAACTAGAGAATTTTTTTACTACAACAGAATACACAAATAGGAACACAGTATATTGTGCAAGACTAACTACGTAATTTGTTCTGTGCATTGCCTCTTTTGATACTTACAACACTTATATCAATACACTTAAGTACAAAAGATAGTTCTTACTGATAATATATAGCCATATTATTAATATAGATATCTATTAAGTATATATAATATAGTCTAAAAGTAATCCTTAATTTTCTACAAAATGCAATACAAACACATTTCCAAACTTATATATATATATGAATTTTTATCATACAAAGTTTCATTCGTGTCAATTCACTTCGTTTTTCACTAGTATCTCCATAGTCACCATCCATCTGCAGGGCAATACCCACGAATGAACGGAATACCAGTACCGACCTTCTTCTGGTATTCAAGGTACTGATTCCCGAAAAAGGACACCAGAAACATCTCTTCAGCGAAGATTCGCTCTTGGAAGAACGACCACGAGACTAGAGTATAAATTACCATGCACACTGGGTTTATTAGAATCATCTGAAAGAAATTTCAATATATTTAATAAAATGATGATTGAAATGGTCTTTTAATTCACTTCATTTGAGTTTTAACCTATATTCAATCAGAGTGAAAAACTACATACGAACCATTCAAGGGCATTCATTTTGTTTCGCTAGTTCTAAAGATCTGTATTTCACTATTATTGACCACTTTCAAAGATAGACTATTGAAGAAAATTATATAAAATATATAAATTTTTGTTTTGCAAATGATTTTAAGTCACATTGCACATTCAGCAGTTCAGGCACACTAATTCTGCTATCTAGGTACAAAATATTTAAGTATTATAAATACCTGTGTCCCGATAGACCAATAGAACCATCCCATATAACTTGGGTGGCGACAAAATGAATAGACTCCATTTGTGACAAGCTGGTGGTCTGCTTTCTTAACTGTTTGGACCTAGAACAGATCATTGTTTATGGGTATTCAAAAGAAATTCTATATCCTAGAGATACATGTACTACTTAAAATCTGCCAAGACGATTCAGTAAGATTAATTAATTTTTGCTTTAGAAAAAAACTAAAGATTAACTTACATGATGGTTAAAGTTTGTCTTAGCTGTAAACATTGCCATCTTTCGCCATACCTCTCCGCTGATGCACATTGCAACTCCCAGAACTGTAATCCACTGTGCCGATTTTAGACCTTTAATGATTACAAAATTACACATGAATCTTTATTCTTAAAAGAACATAATATTAAAAGAAATAAAATTGTTATGTGTGATTTATTTGAACCCAAAAATAGTAACAAAATTCAATCTGAATTGTGATTCCTATAAGTCTTTGGATCTGCCTGTTCCTTTTTTTAAAATCAAATTTATTAGTTGTGCATCTCTCAAATACTGCTGTAATGAAAATATACATCATCTTTATAATACCTGTACAAGATATGTACACACATCCTTTTTATATTTATTTCATATCATGCAAGGACAATTGTCCCAACTATATAAGAGAACATTAGAATAGGTAGGTAGGACAACTGATACATATTTTTTAACTCATATCGGAAATAATATCTGAACATAACTTACAAGGGAAAAAATAACTCTCAATGGCCATTTCAATCCAGCTAGCTACAGCTGCAACCCAATACTGAATGCTGTGATTCAATATAAATGAATCTATAGTCAACGTTTGTCGATTCGTCACAGCAACGGCAAAGAACTCCGAGAAGTGAAAAATGGAAAGCGCCATAATATAAAGGCCGAAGGCTCGCCATACTGCGTCAAACGAGGTTAAATATAATCCTAATGCTAGGACTGATCCCAGAAATGCTGATCTGATCGCGATCTGCAAAAAAATACTTGTATTATTGCCGGACCAAATATGTAACTAATAATATGTATAATTTAATAAACTTACTTCATACGAGAAGCCCTTTAACGAATACCGTAGAATGAAATTCAGTAAGCAGAAGTACAGTCCCGGTCCCCAATACTTTAACGCCCATAGTTCCGATGTGTAGCCCAAAATATTACCAGAAAATAAAGTTAAGGTAAAAACAGTGGATGATAAAGAATAATAAAAGAAGGCTATTCGGGCGGCGGACGACACCGGTCGATTTAGAAAACCGTTCATATTTACACCGGCTGTTATCACACTTGCTTCATGGTGACATCATTGCTGTATTAATTTTGATAACATTACACTAATAAGGTAAACCTAAATAAAAATAGAATTTCCTGACTTCATTTCATTATTTATACGACGTCAAAATATATTGTTAACAAATGACAATTGACAATTTATTTTTTATAAATATTGCCATTACCAAAAAAGACTATATCCGGTGACCATGACAACATTATATATTTTGAACTTGTCAAATTCTACTTTTTCAAACAAACGAAAAAGTAAAAGTCTTACCAACAATTTTCGATTACTTCAATAAATTTGAAATACAGTGATTACAAATAATAGTTATTAAATTTACAGTGTATTTAAAAGTATCTAAGGGTATACAGTATGTTAATTCAACCAACAGTTCGAAAAACGTACTAATTAAAAGAAAATTAAAGGCGACGTATGGCGCTCAAAATTTGCTTTTTTTCTAACTCAACTTCAAATAATTAGGAATACTAATAGGAATCAACGCACATATGGTTTGGTGTCTAGTGTTTAACGAACTGACGTAATCGCGTATGACTGCATCGTCCTATTTTAATTATATGTATATTAATTTACCATGTAAAGTGCGATCACTATCGGAGCGAAATTTCCTTCGTTCTTCCGGAATGATTTAGTGGATAATAACTCGCTGATGTAACAGACGCGATGAACGACCCGTGGGATGTGAAATGTGTCCGACAATCGAGCCAGTATTTATCATGTATGAAATTAAACGGGGTCCCACTACTTCCGCCTGTTGTAAGTAAATGCTTTCCTTGTAAAAAAAATAACATTGCCTGTAAGATTAAAGTGTAAATTTTTAATCATCTTAAAATATTATTTCAGCTCTCTAAAGAATGTCGCAAAGAAATGCAGTATTACAAACTTTTGGCTCTGGAGGTAGAAAAGCGCATACAAACCCTTAAAACAGTAGTATTTGAGAGTGATACAGAGTCAACAGAAGACAAAACTGATGCTCCTGACCTGCCTGAGTCAGAACAAAATGATATCTCCTTCGAAGCCATGGGGGTTCATAATTCAAAAATTGAGGAAAGAAAAGATGTTGACAATCTCACTTCCTCATCACAATCACCAGTCACTGAAATAGATAGTAGATCCAAAACTCCTTCTCAATTTGTAATAGACTTAAGTTTGAGCCTTAACAATCAGCACACACCTCTAGAACCTGACGCTTTAGAAGTACCTGAGCGAGATTGGGAATGTACAAAACCTAAAGCTGTAACCCCTGAAGAGGAAAATAAGTATAACAGCAGAGACAAACTAGTTTTTAGTGTCTCTGTAAACAATGAAAATATAACAGATCCATTAACCATAAGTTTTAACCATGATGACCCTCCATCTTTGAGTGCTAAAAGCTTCACTGGTTCTCTTAATAATATACATACAGACAGTAAAGTCACCCAAAGTATACCACTGTCCCGGCAAAGATCCTACACGGTGTTAAACCCGAGTCCCTTATTGCTAGCTCATTTAGAAATTCAGTCACTGAACACTGGTGTTGATATACATTCAATATCTATGAGTGAATCAATGTCTAATTTGACTTCACCAAACAAAAAGCGACGCAGTTGGGATTTAGAATCTGCAAAAGTGAAATGGTCATCTATGGCTCTAGAGTTAAAGCAGAAAAATATTGATAGAACTGCTAATAAAAATGTTGCAAAATCTAAAAAAGTTTCACAACCTGCTGTCACACATACACGCACCAGATCTCTCGTTCAAGAGAGAGGTAGACGATTGTCAAATATTTATAAACCTGTTATTAAATCTGAACCTATACAGAGGCCCAAGAAAAACCCAAGTCCAGTACGGAATGCAACATCCCACACAAATAAATCACCAGTGACTAAATCTATTCCTAATGGATTAGACAAGAAAGTCACTCCGTCCAAACAACTAACTTCTGAATCAGAAGACCCGGCCACGCGCGTTAGGGAACTCTATGAGAAAATACAGAAGCAGCAACTCATACAAATGGCTGCCCTAGTAGAGAAACAAAAGAAAGAGCAAATGCTACTACAACAAGTTTTTGAGGAGCAGAATAACTTGTTATTCACACAATTAAAAACTATCTGCCCAAAGCCACCCAATGACATAAAAGAGGCTTGGAGTGATAAGGCAGACAGAGGGCCCGTTAGCTTGAGCCAATTGATAAATTCAAATAGTCCAGATGTGATGACAGATACAAATAACTATCTCAATCAGTGTGACAATGTTCTGAAGAAGTCAAGAGACATCACTGGTAGCATTAAGAAGGGAAAAAGTACTAATGAGAAACACCTCCCTAAACTAAATAACGGCTCGAGGAACACATCACCAGTCCGCAAAAATGAGACTTCAAGAAAGCTAACGTACGAAACGACGTCGTCCGATAGAGATTACGAGTTGATCCTGACCGATCGCACGAACGATACAATGGCAGATTTGAACGTGACATTTGCAACAGACAACGACGAGTGCCAACTGTACCAAACACAAAACATCCATAAAGAACTAAAAAGCGCATCGATGGCGCTATCTGTACCATGTCGATCGACTGATAGAGCCATTAAAAGTATGGAGGAAACTATACATAATTCTATCAAAAGCATGTGTGTTAAGAGACCGAGTAGTATGTGCCGATCAGCTACACCAGAGGAGGTGAGATAACTTCATTTATTATGGCGTGGTAATGTGTAAGTCTTAGATTTTGATTAGCTAGAAATTTGTTAGGTATGTAAGCTATGGTTTATTGAAATTTTTAGATTTAGTAAAATTGTTTATTAGTATTTTCCTTCCTTCCTAGATATCTCTCCTTCAAACTTGTTGAAATCCCTTTTTTTCATGTATTTATCTTTGCTGTTTTTGCTAATTTATTATTCGTTACTATACTATATTCCACTACTAACTATAATGTGAATTTCTTCAACGTCCATGTGGACGTTCAACGTTCTCCACGCTGCAAATACCTCACATTTCACCAATGACAAGGCTCATTCCCTTCTTCCATGCTTTTGTCAGTTCTTCTTTCCGCATCCAAACTTCAGTGTCTCAATTGACCGATCTCTGCTCAGCGCGCCGCGGCGTCTAAAATAGTGGCATACGCTAAAGGCTACTTGGTCCGTCGACTCCTGCGCACAGAGCGCGTCCAGGGCACCGTGCAGACGATTAAAGATGCTTTGCTATGCGCACTGCAGCTGCATCAGGACAGGGAGGGCATAAGAGGCGCCGATGTTGACTTGCATAGGCGACTGATTCAACAGGTAAGGTACAAAGCTAAAAAGTAGTTATTTATTTTGTTATTAGAGTAGACTAATTAAAAGGAATTTTATTCTTTCACACTTACGAGATTTTTAACATTTAAGACAGGCTCGTAGCACTAATAATAATAATTACCGTTTACATTTAATATCAGCTACTTATACTCGTAATATGATTCTTACACATCACATCACATCACATTATTGATTATTACATATATTATGTTTTATGAACTTATCATTTAATTATGTATACATACAAAAACGTTCATCATGGCAAGTGCTAAAAAAAGTACTTAGATCCCTTTTTTAGTCTTGTTTCCTTGCAATTAAACGTCAAAGTATGTCTAAAATGCGTAGGAAATTATTTATGACGCTTATAAATATATCAAGCATTTACCATAGCGACATTCAACACGACATCAAACGCAAATTTTTTGGAGAGAGGCGAGCTGACCCAACACCGTGATAACGTCGGTCAGGGCTATCCGATATTAATTATTTTCATAAATCATAGCCCAAATTCAGTTTCGTTAAAAATAACATACATTTGGATACAAAACATAATCATATGAGCAAAAAAATATCTTGGCTCATTTTCAAGAGAACCGCACTTTTTACTCAGCCTCAAGGGACATTTCGCTGTCGGTCAGCACTGACCGCATCGGCAGAGAACGTGTTAATACAGTAATATTTGGAGACGTTTTTATCAAAACTAAAAAGTTTGTCGTAATTTCCTAGATAACGGCAGCATGCTACTCCCTCCACGATACCTTCATCACGAGTTCTCCTGCGGAGAGATGCGCTATGATAGGAGTTGACCGTGACCGGAGACGGCTTCTGGCAAATCGGCCGCCGCCAGTCAGGCAGCATCGGCCGACGTAAGTACCTTTTTATTTACTAATACTTTGACTAGGACTTTTTATTTCTCTTAATTTTATTTTGTATACGGGTCCTCTAACCCAATGAGAAGACTAAAAAATATTTTCATATCAAAATGTTAACACGATAAACTTTTGAATTGTAAATCATATTGTTTGAAAATGGCTTGAAAATTACTTTCGTTTCGTGTTGGTCGAATGGTAAATAAAGGTGTGTGTACAACAGGGACCTAATGTCGCAAAGTCACTGCGGCGCGTTTCCGTCGCGGACGAAGCGAGCTCTTATTAACGCGTCGCTGATGACTCAGTCCAATTATGGTAACATAGCGTTCGTATGAGACGACACGAATCTTGAGGTTTGCGTTAGAAGGCATACTAGGATCGTATTAAAGATTTACTGACTTCTAAATTTGTTCTTTTAAATTTTCGCGGATTAATTGAAAAAAAAAAGAAACAAAAACTAACAACGTAATATGTTTTCGAGAAGAATTAAGATTTTAAATTAAACCCTTTTTTGCCCTTTTAAGTCACACCTCAAGATACGCGTCCCCTGTAAAGTTGATGTTATTTTGCACTTGCACGAAACTTGTATATGTTTGGTGAATCGCTTTTGTCTCGTTTTCTTTTATAGCACACCTACGTTGTACAACCTGACAGATAAAAATACCCGTCTATTGCTAAGATTACTCCATGAGCTATTGCTATTCTTCTTCTCTCTTTTCTGTGTATATGTCACTAGACTGTTATTTTCATATCTTCATCCATCCTCGCTGTCATTATCAACTTTAAAAGCCTTTCAATTGAGACGATACCGCTGTTATATTTCGCTAAAGACTTTTATCGCCAAATATATTACATGAAATAAACAGACTTACATAGATTTTTTATGATAGAGACAAGCATGTGGTTGTCCGATGGTATGTGAAATATCCCTGCTATTATAGCATCTAAACAATATGAACTGTCGATCTATATTCTGTTTTGGATCCGACTAATCTTTTTTTTACCAATTTACAGAGACCTTTAGTGGCGATAAAACGAGCGTCCGTCGCTACATGCCGAGCCCGCGTCGTCGGCCGTGGCGCTGATCCACAGAAGGCAGATCTGTCAAAAGAAATACTTGTACTTGCCATAATATACCTTATAAAAATAATAATAATACTGAGGGTAAATGCTAGTAATTGTTTTATCGCTCCAGTACAGCGCTTTATACTATAGGCGTAAAGGATTTAATGTTTAACAATTATTTCTGAGTAACTAATAAAATATATACTATGACTTCCTATAAAATTCCGATGTAACCTACAGGCAAATTTAAACAATAAAATTATTTCTTGGTGAAATTGGGCCTTATACAGTGATCAGGATGTAAATAGCTTTTATGAACAGTATAATTAAAATATAACCACAATGAATTATACTTAAATATACCTGAAAAATATACCAAATAACTTTGCAATAATTATATGATTAAGTAAGAATGATGGTCTAACTACATGTAACATTCCATTGTAATATAATGATGGCGCGAAAACAATATGATGTGCACAAAAAAGTGATTTAGATTTGCCCTTTGAAGTTTTTACATTTTTCAAAATATTTCTTCCTATAATACAAAATACATAACGTGGTTTTTATTCCCGTTTATACGTTTTCAATAGAATTAATCGAAAAATTTTCGATACATATTTAACCGATAGAATAATTTGTACTATCCCGTAGGGCTGTCTTAGAATGTCCAGGAATTTTACCGTTAAATATAGCATTCAAATAACCGTGCCTGGAATCGGTTATAATTGTAAATTTGTAACTGTGATAAGTGGGCGTTCTCCTTGACAACGAAATGGCCATGAGAAGTACAATAACTACTATAATATTGGTGGGCAATTGTAATTTTGTCAGTAGTGCCTAATTACGGTTGTGCGAACCTGTGTTTAGAGCTATTATTGGCTTCAAATTTGTAGTTTTAAGAAATTGTTTGTTTTACACTTGATTGCACGAACATAAGCATTACGTTTTTTTTTACTTTAAGTTTGTCTTAAGGACTCGCAAATACGGAAAATCGAGGGGGCACTGATTGTAAATTAAAATTCGTTTCTCTATATCACTGCTGGTTGCTTTGTAATCTCACATAAATATATTCTAGATTATGCTAGCTTTAGCATTTATAACTGCACTGTACTAGTCAATATACATACAATTTTGTTTGTGACTAAATTCGGCACAAATTATTAATATGGCTTATCTGAGGTCACGTCAAATACTATATTTTATATGTGAACTTAATTTTATAATAAACATTTCAAAAAACCTTTTCTTTTTATTGAACGACGCCAATTTTACAGACTGACAGAATTAAATAAAAATCGACAATTGCTCAAATTTATTTATTAATTTATCCACTATAGCAGAATTTTAAGACAATAAGTAATTTAAATAATAATTAGAACAACGTTTTTCTCATATCCCGACTTGTAAAATCCAAAAATGTTATCCTCCATTTGTGGCGATCACGGCCATTAAAAATACAAATCGATGTTAGTCCGGAAAGTAATATAACAGCACTCGAGACTGAGCAAATGAATCGCTTTGGAATACAAGAAGCGTGTCGAAGCACTGAAATTTCTGTACAAAACACTGAGGCACTCGAAACTATTGGCCCTTTAGCAACATCACTATAACACAATATGTATGAGTTAGCAATAAGTCGACTATTAGAAAAAGAAAATTGGTTCTCTGTCGCAGTTATGATGTTTGTTTGTCATGCAGACAAACAAAATGATAGTTTCCAGCCTGTATGTGCAATATCTAGTACAAACATCTGTTATAGTGATGTTACATTAAATGCCCTATAACTAAACGCGTTTTAAAAATACCCTCTTTGTGAAAAAATTCGTGTATATCGTCTAAATGCGAATGACCGGTACGTGGCACTAGGGCAGAGTGTACTTGACGTAGGGCACTTCTATGTCGTCGCCTTCCTCGTTATTGCAGCACAGTTCGAACACTAACGCCTTCACGTGGGGCTCCAGTTTCTTCTTGGAGACCTTCGTCACCACCTCCGACATCGGCAGGTTCAACCTCTCTTGTCGCTTGGCCTTGGGCATGAAGAAAGAGTAGAGCATGCAGACGCCCTGAGACAGCATCGTGATTTCCAAGCTATGCTCGTTCTTGAAGTAATCGATGAACTGTTGAAGGGTCACCTCGCCTTTCACTTCAAATCTATCCCACAGAGTCCACTCTTTGTCGTAGTATTTGTTAACCGGTGCCGCTATCGGCTCCGAGAAGCCAAAGAAAGGTAGAGCTAAGTTCACAAATCCATTTTTAAACACATCTAAAGTATTGAAGCCTTGGGCCAGTTTGTATAGCTCCAAGCAGACGAGCCCAGCAACCACAGAGGTGGTGGTGGCAATAGCTGGGATAATTTTTCCAGCAATCAGCTTGGATCTATGCCTGTCTGCCGGTGGTATACTATAGTTAGCAGCTCTTAGGTTAGAAGCAGCGACAATAAAGTCCATGTGGAAGTTTGTGTCGTCGTCCTTTTCGAAATCGAGGGGGGTGATCTTTAGGTTGCCGAGTTTGGATGGAGGGGGGAGATCAGATATGATTGTCTGTACTCTGTCTTGGTCCATATCGTCATTGTTCTGTTGAAGTTGAGCATCTGTCACGGCAATCTTGACGCCGGAGCGTGGTTTGAACTCGGGAACCTAGAATAAATTATGATTAAGATTCTGATTGAAAAAGAGAATTAGTTAAGATCTACTCCCACAACCGGGATGTGAAAATAAATTGGCTATGGCAACATTTTTCCTATATAAAACACCTTCCTAAGAATATTTTGAGAACCTAATTAAACATGGAAACCAGTGAGAGAGTGTAATATATTTTAAAATATAACTTGTACCTGTACACTAGTCGCCACCTTGGCAATACGTTCTCTATCGACACAGGGTGGTAATCCATAAACTTGAGCCCTCAAATTAGCAGCAGCTACGACGTAGTCTAAATGCAACTCGTCATTTGGATTGAAGGTCAACGGAGCTGGACATCTCTTTGGGCCAGACCAGAACGGAGCTCCACTAGTGGTGACTTGGTTCGGGGGGAAGTTGAATAGCAGCTGCTTGATCTGGTTTGAGTATTGTATCTCCCAATGTAAACGAGCCCAGGTAATACAGTCGTCAAAGCTAAGAGGACGGTCGTTTATCGCATTCTGGAAATTAAAAGGTATTTTTGGTTATAATGTTTTTGTGCAATATATGTAGTGAAACAAAATCAAAATTAATATAAATCAATATAATCAAATCAAGTCTTTGTTTTTTAAAATCAAATGTTAAAGCAGAGTAGATAAAAGCAGACAATACTTAAATTTTACAGACAATAAGTAACTTTTTAGGAAAATAAGTGAATTTTAAGCTATTTTTTAAAGTAAAGGGCATCTATACATAAACAAATCTGCTGATTTATTTGCACTGCTAGAGTGCTAATACATTCGATTGTTGTTGTTTCGAGGAGTTTCAAAAACACATCCTTTATAGGTAATGCATTGAAGCATTGAGGTATATAGATGATCACAAATATGCAAGGGTTCCAAGACTTTTACTACTAACCCGAACACTCTCAAGTGCATCCAATGGCTGAGTACCAGGTAGCTTCATGCTCCTCTCCAGGAAGTGGGGATCCTGCAGATACTGGGCGGCATGTTCAGCCGCCTGACGGAATAGCCCCTCAAACTCATCCCTGGCCCACTGCAGTGTGTGCTCGATTGCGTTGGGGAAGTTTTTCAAAGTGCAGATGGGAATGCTCTTTTCCGGCGGGTCTTGGGAGGAACTGTACGACTCCGTTAAGGCGGGGACTACCACCTGCAAAAAATTACGAGTCACATGAGACATCCCTCAAAATATGCTCCGACACATTCATCTCATACAACATTGGCAAATTTTCAGAAGTTATATGTTTATTAAATACTAGCGGCCCAGTCCCGGCTTCGCACGGGTAGACATAATTAGCTACAGATATTTAAATTATAAGCATGCTAATTAATACGACCATGAATCACTAAATTAGAAAAAAAAATTATTGCGCGTCCTCTCTGTCAACGACTGTGGTCTCTCTTGCTGGTTCAGAAGCCGCTGCGAGCGTTCAGCGTTAGTCCCGCGTTCGCGCGTGAACGGGAATTCCTAGCTATATTTCCTTCAAGTCGCTGCGACGATCTTGCATTTTGTACTGCAAGACAAAACTGAACATTCGACGAGATTCTCTGGCTCGCGATTGAGACGCGTACACTCTAATACTTTCCAGACGATCATTTTAGAAAGAAGACTCTCCAATACGATGAACTTTTGCTAATCTCGCTTGGAAACTATTCTTAGATAGCTGCGTGCGACCTTCTTCTTCTAGGCATATATGTTTATTTTAAATCAGAGAAATTAAGAATAAACGAATAATTAATAGAAAAGAAAATATTCAAGTTCAAAGCTATAGTTCTGAAAAGAACTTTGACAAACATTATGCAAAGTGTTATTACTAAAACTAAAACTAAGTAGCTTTGAAAATAACTTTTTAAGTGAAGCATAAAAATGTAAAAAAAACTCGAAATATTCAATGTCGTTTGCGTCCACTGCGTAAGGAGCCCACTGCCCCTTTCGTCGAGTTAGGTCCTCGATGCGCGGCGTGGCGGCCGCCGCCGGCATGTATTTTTATTTTAACTTCATGATATCTTTTGAATGGAATGTCCGATTTCAATAATTAAAAAAGTAATCATCAGGTATTGAAACAATCTTTAATATTAAATTATTTAATTAAATTAAAAAATATATATGGATAACACGGTTTGATTTTGTTTGGCATTTCTATCAATTTGTTAAATGTAAAAAAAAGGAGTTATAGCGACGTAACTACAATAGTTAGACATAAGCTCTCGCGATGTTTTTTGTAGATATATTCTATAATATTGTGGAACATTTTTTTGTCCTATCATTAATACTTTTCGCAGCGTATGCGAAGAAAGACATTTTACGGCTAATTTTTTTACGTCTTCCGTTGGTTTTAGTAAGAATTTCTATAGTAATCAAGTACTAAATATAGCCTATGTTACTCAGTGATAATGTAGCTTTCTAATGAAAAAAGAATTATTAAAATCGGTCCAGTACTTTTCGAATTTATCCGTTACATACAAAAATACAAATCTTTCCTCTTTATAATGTTAGTATAGAAGATACCTGCGTGTTTCCTTTAGTGCCAAGGGTACCACTTTCCAGCAGCGGTTTCTTGTAGTAAACGCAACGTCTGTCCATGTAGATCCTGGCGTCCACGTTGTCCAAGGCGTTAGCCACTCCATCCAGAGCCTCGAAGAACACGTCGTCGTAGACACATTCGGTCTCCGGACAGACGCGGTTCTCTTGTGCGAGTACGTTCATTGCCGGATTCATTTTCTTCACAGCCTGAAATATATAATTTGTGAAATTTAACCAAAAGGAATCGCCCAAAACAAAAAGTATTAAAACAGGACATATATGTTTCTAAGATATTCGGATTTTATAGAATTTTTCGCACACTTAAGACTACTTTTTTAATTTATTCATATATTTTATTTCGCAATATATTTGTACATATCTTAGCCGGGCATGAAAACTGCAAAGCGGTTTATTTATGTTACAGATCACTTGTTACAAAATACCTAATAACTTAATTTTTAAAATAAATGCTATACTATAAAATACAACCATAACATAAAATTAATTAACTAAATAAAATGTAGTTAAAAATTAAATTATTTGCAACATTACAATTATGAGTCTGTGTGTGCAAGGTTATATAGTTTGTTTCCTTTACTTACTTTATCTTTAACTTAATCTTAAAATAAAAAAAAGAATAAAAAAAATCTTTAACATAATCTCTTTCATTAGTACCTTAGCAGCAGTACTGGACTTGGGTTTTTGCACATCGTGAGGTCGGAAGAGGAACTGTCGGTTTAGGTTTGACTTCTCAATAAGATCCATGTCTGTGAGAGTCACCTGTCCACCGGCAGCTCCAACTCCTATCATAGCAAAGTTCTTCAACAATTCACAGCCTATAGCGCCCGCGCCTGTAATTCAAAATTATAATATTGTTTTTTGTAGAATAATATTCCATTACTCCATGCATATAACATTTAAACCAAATGCGCAATCAAGCTTTAGTTTTGGCTATTCCAAAGACTGAAACTGTATATCTGTCTCAACAGTAGTATGTGACTCAGACAGAATTTCGATATCCCTACCAACTATTTAATAGCCAGATGACATTGTAACATGTTTCAGAATATGTAATTATAAAACCCAGACCCAGTGAGAATCAAACCGACAATGTTATTAGCCATACATTAGACCAACAAGTCTGTTTGTAGTAACACACACTCTTGGATCCTACAAAAAAGGACATTCATGCACACACTACTTCCACCAATAATATTTTCAAAGCGTCTAACAGGAAAGACTTGGTTAAAAATATACCACAACACTAAGTGAAGCCATAAATGGCAAATTTTCTATTCTGGTGAAGACTATATAATCGTCTTATAGTTAATCATATAATATACATGTACGTCAATGAAATTAATGGTAACATCTTATCTTAAACATAACAAACAGTGCTTGCATCTGTGTTTGTTAAGTATTACTAGTGTATTAAGACATTTACTGCACTAGCAAAAAATTACATTTGTTTTATATATAATAGGAAATTTGTTTTGTTTCGTTTTCAATTGTCGTTATTCAGATAAATTATAACTTATATGTTCTTGTACTTGTAAGGTGTAATTTGCAACATATTTATTACGTACAAGATAATAATGACTCAACATATTTCTATTAACATAGTCAAAAGAGAATTATTGTAAATATTTGAAGAAAAAAAAACTATATAAAGTTACTCCAGTAACAGATAAAAACAAAAAGCAAAATATTTGTTTCTTTACATTAATACTTGTATCAGATTGAGAAAGCATTTTATGAACATAATGTAAATAAGAACAAATATTACTCACCAACAATAAAGTACTTCAATTCACCAATTCTTTTCTGGAAATTGTTTCCGAACACAGCAATTTGACCATCATATCTGGAGCCAACGGGTTTACAATTTTCTTCCGTGAGAGCTGACTTGTCCTTTGGCAGACATTCAATGGCATCTAGATAAAGCCACTGGATTATGGGATGGAACTTTCCTGAACATGCCTTCATTACTTCCTGGGCTACTACACCACCAATTGCAGCATTCATTGGGTTAAGGTCTCCAGAAGACACCTGGAATTATTTATTAAGATAAACAAAATATAGCAGAAGACCGACTGACTTTTTAACTTGACGTAAAACCATTTTCAGAGCTACCTTTTGCCCACTTAGCGATTTGATAAAATGATGTAACAAACCTTAGCAAATATTTCCATTAAATCTGTATTTATTTCCAATTCCCCCTCCTTAAATATCTCTCCATCTTTCAAAATTGTTTTAACATATTCAATAAACTTGGCAGCATCAGCATCGCACCAGGGCTTAGGAGTGTAGCCTTCGGCCTGCTCAAATTTATGCAGAGCAGCAAAGGCCACATGAAGTTGTTGGGGATAGTCCATCTTGGCAAAGTCTGTGATCAAGTATTCCGGCTCCTTTAGAGATTCACTAAGTTGTTTGAAGTGGAGCTTTTTGGGCATTTTGACTTGGGTGACTATGCCTCCACGAGCATACTTTGAAAAGTTTGTTGTGTCTCCGATGGTGAATGTGTAGGGACCCATGACTTTGATCTTGCGTGGTTCACAGCCATTTAATTCTGTCATTCCTTGTACCTGGAAGGCAAGACTGATTAGTTATAGGAGGTATAATTTTCAGATGGAGGCATTGAATGATACTCAATATGGTGGAACATGCAGAACGTAGAAATTTCTTTTTGTGAGAGTGACATATTGTTAGAAACATATAATATAAAGATTACAGATAAATAGGTAATTACTTGTATGTAACTCGTGGCTAATTATTGAAAAGTTGAACTAAGGGATAATTAAGAAGTATAGTGTATAACAGCTTCTCTCCATAGTATCATCTAACACATACTTTGTATTGGAAATAATGTTAATATTTTATCTTATAGTTTCTATCAAATGTATTAAGTATAACTTAATTATTTTTTTTTCTAATTGTTTATTAAAGCTTTATATACCTCCATCTCTATACAAACATACTTATGTAAATGTCAAATGCCATCATTTAAAAGCTTCTACATTTTAAAATGTACAAAACAAGTAAAAAATTACATTAGCATAATATATGATTCACACAAATCCAAGTTCAATACCCTTTCTAATTGCAAACAAAAAAGTTGCAAAACAGTTATTATTATCACCACTTAAATTGTATTTCAGTACAATATCCCTGTTGGGGGCCGATTCTTTTCTTCAATGGACTTTAATTACAAGCACAGTAAGCTAGATTTATAGGTTCTCAATATCTTAAAACTAACACCTATGATATTGTGATTCATAGTAAAATCAAAAAAAAATTCAGATCATGAATAATGTAACTTATTCATATTATTCTACTTTGGATATTCAACACTATAACAAAGAATTCTTGTTATATATCATTTTATAAATGGAAACCCACCTCACTGAAGGTCACATAATCTCCATCCTCCAGACCATGACGAGTGTCATCCAAGCATGTGACAACAGCTTCATACTCATGGGTGATGTCAGCGACCATAGCCGACACAGGATTTTCACCAGTGACATCATAAACAGTGAACTCTGGGCCAAAGTCGCAGAACACTTGTGAGAACAGTCCCCTTGTGTCAGCGATGATCAGGGCTATGTTATTGGCATGGGTAAGGGCAGCTACGCGATCCTGTTCAGTCCTCGACGCCCCCGTCAGTACGACGACACGGAACTTCTTCAGAAACTCCTCCGTCAACGGACCGGTATAAGCTGTGGTCGGCACATAGTGATTTAGCTCTGCTAGCTGTTCACACGATGCGACCGCCCTATTCTTGCCGATAGAAGCCTCAGATAAATAAAACTGCGACGATAAATCGGAGATAGTGCACGAACGTTCGTCGTGAAGAGTAACAGATTTGACACCGCCGAGAATGACATTTTTCGCAACCTCGACACCCAAACCTCCTAAGCCAGAGATTAGGACGTCGGAATGGGCCATACGCCGCATAGCATCGTGACCGAGGACGTACAATTGTCTCGAATACAAACTCTCGTCGATCTCATCTTCCACACGCGTTCCATTGTTCGCCATTGCTGACGATTTGCAACTCGCTCCTCCTGTGTTTAGCTTCCGCTTTTTTGCCGGGGGGTCAACGGAATTATCGGCGACTTCAGCACTAGACATCGGGCACGAACGCGCACAATTTTGACGGAATTTTGCTTTGTTTCTTCAGCGCAATCCGGAATGATAATCTTTAAACAATTGTGGTCGACATTCGCACAGCGTACTTCACTGCTCGCTTCGATGAAGGTCCGCTTACTCACTGTCCTGAAGATAGTCACAAGCAACGTGGAAAACTGCAAAAGCGGAAGTTGGTATCTGCCAAACAACAAAACGAAAAATATTACGAGTTTTATTTTAGTCATGAATATAAATTACACATAATTATAGTATATTATTTGTAGTAAGAAGTGAAACTAAAGAAGCAGCGATAATTATATTTTTTATTTTTATTATTTATAAAACACACCACAGAAAATACATAATGATGAGGAAAAAATCTTAGGCGCAAGACTATTTTAAATCAAATATAATTTGAAATTATATTTTTTTCTTTAAAATAGTGGGTGAATTTAATGGAAAAGAAACAGTCGTAATGTAAACTAAAAATTTCCAATTTTACAATTGTAAATGTTTGTATACATGTTTATATTTGAATCCTATCAAAATTTTATATTTTTTTAGAAATACCATTCTAAAACGTTTTTTGTCATAAAAACATGCAGTGACAATTTACTATTTTTGATTTGCAGGAACTTCAGGATTGTTCACTTAGTACTCGAGAGTCGAGCGTAAGTAATAAAGTAAGTATGTAAGTAATTAAATATTTTATCTCTTGCTGTAACCTTATTTACGAATTACCATTAAAGCATATGTTTAACCTTAATCCATAAACAAAAAAAAAAACAAAATAAATAAATTGTTGGTAAAATCTGGCGCAGAGAAATCTGTTGTTATTCTAGCAACACTGTCATAGTGAATAGTGTTGAGCCAAACTTCTTGAGTGCTTTTTGACTTTTATGTGCTTTGTTGTCAAACTTCAAAGTCGCAGAACAAAAAGCAGTAGAGACTGGTTGTTGTGCTGTTAGGACGTAAATTTCTTATCATAGTGGTATTTTTGTTTAACATTCCTTTATTTTGATTATGTTTTGTTGGGATTTGGAAGTGAAAGGAATTTATTCGATCCGAAGCGAGCACGATTAATATAGCTGTCGATGCAAGACAATGAACTAAAAGTTACGCTCAGCTGTGAAAAGGATAACTCGTCCGTAATTTGACTGCCCGATTTCCTGTGTGACTGTAATCATGGTGCAGGAATATGTTTCTCCGGTGAGGGTTCACAAATACCCCTTCGAGATGGTGATGGCGGTAAGTCGTGGCGTGTATCTAATCATAATTTGGCATTGGGCAAACAGGTTGCCAAGTTAAAGATCATGTTAAAAGGTACCAAACTCATGATAAGAACTGGTTTATTGAGAATTTCTAGTAGGTTACATTAAACATTTCATTAGAATGATTGTGTTAGTTTATATTATCTTTCAAACAACAACAGAATTATGTGTTATGAATCACTTTATTCTTAGTTATCTGGGACAAACTTTTGTCTGTAACATACTATTATTATTGTTTTTAATTTTAAAATTCCTACATTAACTTAACTTTTATATATTTTTTATGACAACTGAAAAAATATAAGCATTGAAATTTGAATAATATTTTAGTACTTAATAGGTATAGTATACTTCTTACATATTTATTTATAATTGCCTACCAGAGAGGAAGTGCTATGAAGGTTAGAATAAATATTTATTGCCATATTGTCACATGAGAATTTATTTAATAATTTTAACATTGTTCAAGAAAAGAAAATAAGATATAATCTAAATTAAAAATAAAACCTGTACAATGCAGATAATCAATCTTACCTGCTCTATAACCAATTTTTGAAGGAATATTGAAATTCTGTTCAGGTAAAAATATTTTGGTTCTTTCATTTCTATTGTATGTTCCCCTCTAAGGATCAGAAAACATAGCCCCAAAAAAAAGTTGAATAGTTGGATTATGAAATGTTTTGGCCTTCTGTTTTGAATATGGATTGCCAACACAAGTTGCATACAAAGTACAATTTATTTTTATTGAGTCTAAGAATTTCTGAACACAATATTCAGGTGTTACGAAGAATGATGTCTATAGTGGTTTAGTTAGTGTAGGTTTTAGGTTTAGTGTGCTTTTGCAAAAGTGCAACCTTCTGAAACTGTTTTGTTTATAATTTTTTATATAAATATATATGTATTAGTTAGCTGATAATATGTGAGCATTATGAAGGGCACAGGTTAATATACTTACACCTGATGAATTTACAGACTATGAAACAGAAATTTGTACCCAAACTACTTAGAATGTATTCCTGGGATTTAAATCCAAATTAGGCTAGGGTTAGGTATCGGATCAACTGATGAGTCGTGGGGCATGCAGGCGGGCTAACAAGTCTTAACATTGTATTTATAGCTTTTTTGAACAAATAATGAAAGTTTAAATAAAACACTTTAACGATTTAAAACGCGATATATTAGTTAAACTTATTTAAATGTGTACTACTCGCGTAAACTATAGACAGTATTTAAATAATGAAAGAACACAGATTCATCTCGAACCTTCAAAACCTGTCTGTCAGAAACAATTTATTGATAATCGACGTGGAATCGATTATTTGGAAGAGAAATCGTTTTATTGCCGTGACTATTGCGAAATACAGATTTGAAGGATGCTACTTTCGAGACTGGAATTCAGATGATTATGATAGTTCAAGGTGGAATTGGATTAAAAATAAGAAAAATTTAATCCTTTTAGGATGGCTACCCATCAATGTAACTTCCTGTTTTTAAACTTTGAATTTGTGCATTGTAAATTTACGCGCGTAGTAACATTTAATTAAATCATTTTTATTGGTTTTGAACGCTAAATATTCTAGTTTAACTATTTTCAAGTATTACCGTCGTTTATTGATTCGAATCGCAATAAAGTCAAGAGTATTTAAAAAATCATTTACAAATAAAAAACACTATTAGTAATAGAATTAGAAACTGTCATAGACTTTTACAATATATGTTTAATACATTATCAAGAACAAGTAAAAATATTCAAATTAAGATTTTTCAACATCTAAATAAATAAATTTAAGTACATTACTTACAAAAAATAATTTTAATCAATAAATACACATTATTTTAAATAGAACTAAAAATACAGGTTCTTATCTCTTATTGATATTATACAGAATGCTTGAATATTATTACACGAGGAATCGTGGTTTTGTACTGTGCCAAATTAACGACAGTAACCCGCTAAGTGGAACAAATATTTTCCAAGATCGGCAATTTTTTACAGACGTCGGGTCAATAAACTGTGTGAAAATGATAACGTTTGCAGTGATTAATTAGCCTAAATGTAGGTTATGACTCAAACTATTTGGAAAGATTTTGGTATGGGGGGTGGAGGGGCTACTGCAAATACGACTTGAATCGTCTGCCTAAAACTTAGCTGTTAATCACCTCCATTTATAAATATCATATTCTGATTTGGTGTTTCTAATAGTGATCTTAGGAATGCCGTAGAATTGTTATTAAAAATATCGTATTAACTTATATTTTCCGTTTTAAACCGTTAAAGTGTTTTATTTGTTACGTATCACTCGCGTACTGGTGATGATGGGCATGATTTATTATTGTCACTGCTTTCACCTCCATGGATCACTCGTTAACGTGTAGTTCTTGCCATAGAAGCGCTCCGGGTTTGAAGCTCAATAAAACATAAGTATTGTTTAGGAGGCTAGGAATATTTGAAAACATAAAAATTCTTCCCATTATATAAATTAAAAATGAACTTAGATTTAAAAAGAAAAAACGACGTCACGGACAGGACTTGAACCGGCACCTACAGCGTTCCGTGATCAAACCAATTGAGCTACTGTGTCAGCCGTTACCGTAAATTGATTTAGATTATTGACGGCGGCATGTAGACAGGTTTTTTTACGTTCGCCGTGTTAGTTATTTTAAATCGTAGAGCAAACCTCGTAACGTGGGTGATTCTAATTACCTAATATTCGCGCAACTTACCGTTTATCGCACTAGTTGTTGGCTAATGCGGGCAAATGAGGTGATAAATAAGGGCGTAACGAATGTTGAAACGAACAAAAACATTCAATCTAATATTCAACAGTTACTTGAAAATGATCAAAATAAAAACACGACGAGGTCGTTGGTCCAATAGTAGAAATTTCTGGTGGAAAATTTCGATATTAAATAAGTGGTAAGAATATCGAAATACCGTGGGCGTCACGACCCACCGCCCACAAAAGAAAAACCCGTGAAGTGTAAATCCACGTTGCGGTTTAATTTAGCGGATTTCGGACTGACCATAGCCGAAATATGTGTACATCGTATCCTGTTTAGAAGTTATGTGGCCGGAATTTATAACCTACCATGAAATGACCACCCTCGGCTGTCCTCTTCGGGCATGACCCAACTTTGGTGTCGAAGAGTTCAAACATTCATTTATAGGAAAAGAACCAATGTTTCTTTTCTTTTCGATAGAGGAGGCGGGTTCACAAGATGAACCCCCAGCCACATTTGAACAAGGTGTGCTGTCAACCTAATATAGATTTGGATATTCGGAAATGTACTGACTGAAACGGAGCTTCACCATTATTCATTTGTGGACGGTGGTTTACTATATTTCTACAACAAAAAAATTATAAATTGATCAGAAACATGTCTGTCCTAGTAGATCAAATCCACGACCGGTTGATTATTAGCAATAAATTACTACCCATCAACAAGCCATTCTATTTTTAAATAAATCACTTTAACAGTTTATTACGCGAAATATATCAGCTAAAGTTATTTGTACATTATTTTTTACTACAGCCCGACGTAACGGATGCATTTTTGACCATGGCTGCAAAGTTAAAATAATTTTCAAATAAGTTCAATTTGTACAATTGTGTACTACTTGCGTAAACTACAGACAATATTTATTCTTTCTATTGTCTATCTACGTCGGCGTCCTTTTAATTGTAATATTATATTACCAACTTCAGCGTTGTAAATACTGTTATAAGATTATTGACACTAGAAACAAGGCAGGTCAATTTACCTCATAAGGAAAGAAATGAGGTAATTCAGTACATCAAGAAGGATGATAACGTTGTGATAATAGTCGTAAAAACTGAGTTGTATTCATTAAATGAAAATGGGCGCAAACAGCCTTGGAAATGGCGGAATTGATATTGCTATTGAGAAACGAAAGTTTGTTAGTTTGGAATTTTGACCGATTTAGATAAAATTTGCATCGATATAATTTAACGAAACCTCCGGCCGGGGGGGGGGGGGGGGGGGGGGGGGGGGCGGGCCGGCCCCCGGGGGGGCGGGGCGCCCCCCCGGGGGGGGCCCCGGCGGGGGGGGGGGGGGGGCGGGGGGGCGCGGGGGGGGGGGGGGGGGGGGGGGGGGGCCCCCCCCCGGGGGGGGCCCCCCCCCGGGGGGGGGGGGGGGGGCGGCCCCCGGGGGGGGGGGGGGGGGGGGGGGGGGGCCGGGGGGGGGGGGGGGGGGGGGCCGGCCCCCCCGGCCGGGCCGGGGGGGGGGGGGGGGGGGGGGGGGGGGCGCCCCCCCCCCGGGGGGGGGCCGGGGGGGGGGGGGGGGGGCCCGGCGGGGGGGGGGGCCCGGGGGGGCCCCCGGGCCCCCCCCCGGGGGGGGCGGGGCCCGCCCCCCCCGGGGGGGGCGGCCCCCGCCGCGGGGGGGGGGGCCGGCCCGGGGGGGGGGGGGGGGGGGGGGCGCCCCCCGGCCCGGGGGGGGGGGGGGGGGGGGGGGGGGGGGGGGGGGGGGGGGGGGGGGGGGGGGGCGGGGGGCGCGGGGGGGGGGGGGGGGGGGGGGGCCCCGGGGGGGGGGGGGGGGGGGGGGGGGGGGGGGGGGGGGGCCGGGGGCCCCCCCCCGCCGGGGGGGGGGGGGGGGGGGGGGGGGGGCCCCGGGGGGGGGGGGGGGGGGGGGGGGGGGGGGGGGGGGGGGGGCCGGGGGGGGGGGGGGGCCCCCCCCGGGGGGGGGGGGGGGGGGGGGGGGGGGGGGGGGGGGGGGGGGGGGGGGGGGGGGGGGGGGGGGGGGGGGGGGGGGGGGGGGGGGGGGGGGGGGGGGGGGGGCCCCCGGGGGGGGGGGGGGGGGGGGGGGGGGGGGCGCCCCCCCCCCCGGGGGGCCGGGGGGGGGCCCCCGGGGGGGGGGCGGGGGGGGGGGGGGGGCGGCGGGGGGGGCCGCGGGGGGGGGGGGGGGGGGGGGGGGGCGGGGGGGGGGGGGGGGGGGGGGGGGGGGGGGGGGGGGGGGGGG